AGGATAGTTTTTTTTTGCCCATGAATGACTCACAATTTTTTTTGAGAATTTTATGATTTTTAATAGGCATGACGAAGGGTCGTCGAAAAGGGCAGAACGTCTGCCTGGCAAGCTAGTTTTAGTATATAACTAAATTAGGTCTTGCTATATGGTGTCTGTGCAAAAGAATGCAACAACCTTATTTCGTTTGTGGGTGTAAATGTAACAATACGTGAATATGGAAAATGACATGATTTTTATGGCTTCCGATAGATGGCGGTATAACCATCTCGTTTACGTCAGACGTAAAATCTTATATCACGTGATCAAGCGTAAAATTTATTCCGTAGACAGAGAAACCTATAGACAAATTGACGCCTTCTTTCGCATTCGCACACGAAAAAAATATATTTATGCAAACGTCTTGCATAGAAATGAGACAGAGCAGTGTGATTGTTTGTCCCTTTCTCCGTGCCGGTTTTTTTGTTTAGCAAACTACACTTTGCTAAACAACTTTGACAGTTCGTAGCGATATAAGGAGTTTACAAGTTGGTTTAAGTGAGAAAAGTGTTTTGTGAGCTTAGGATTGGTGAATCTTGTTCAGCTCAGTTCTTAGAACAATAAAAAAATTATTTAAATATGTTTAAAAGTCATAAATATTAAAGTATAACCTAAAACTTCGTTATCGTCCTTACTCACTGGAGGTCACGCTAATCATTAGTCTATATGTTTCTCTGTCTACGATTTATGCAGACCGCAGGGCAGCTTACGTCAGATTCGAGACGTCGCGTCGTCGGGCAAAGCGATCGTCGATTCGCTCACCAAGGGTGACGATTAAAGGAAATCCTGCATACAACGGGCAAGGCCCATGTGGGCATGGTGTTTTATTTTCAGTTTGCACTTTCAGTTGAAAATTCTTAGGAATGAAAACAAAGACACCTAAAATATAAAAGAACATCGGTTTATTAATGAAACAAATCTGATTACGTTTAAATCATGATGTTAAATATCATCAGTTTTCAGGTTTTGATTTCTAATCACGGACTGAGATATCGACCTAAGTTGGAAAAGTTCACTATATCCAAAAAAGAGAAAACACCTGTATGGGCAACAACTATCTGCCTCCGTTATACACAAACAAAAATGAAGAACAATTATTATCTTTACCTCTTACATTCTGGATCAATGTACGAATCGCAACTCAATGTGACCCATTCGTAATGTATGTACATACATTTAAAAAAAATAAGTTTTCAGCAGTCAATGTCTACGGTATCGGTATTGTGATTCGTAAATTTCAAATACAGCTATTAACTGAACTATGAACTTGTTACTGATATCTACGTTTTTGAAATACATTTGAGACACACATACACATATATTTGTGACCAGGATTAAGAAAAAAATTTCTCCGGGGGTTTGGTCATGTAGAAAGAATGAACGAGGAAAGAGTGACAAAGCAAATTTATATTGCAAAAGAAAAGGATGTGAACGGCAGAGTCGGTAAAGGGCGCTCTAGACGAAGGTTTATCGACCAAATTGGCGATATTTTGAAAATGGGCCAAATTAGGAGTACCCTTAACCGACGAGCTGTGTGCGTAGATAAATGTGAATGTAGAGGAGGCGAAAAAGCTGTGTCAGGATCATACCAAATGGAAGTCCGTAGTCTCTGCCTACACCTGTGGGTAACAGGCGTCAGTGTTTATGTTATGTTGTTTATATAAATTCATTGCATAATGCGCATGACCTAGGCACCTGGGAATTTCTAGAAATAGCTTCCAATCAATACTTATTAACAGTGGACGACGGGTGTTATATTGAATGTTGGGACTATATGATATTAAATGAAGGTATATATTGCAATGGTTGCAACGAGAGTCGATCAATATCAAACGGGCGGTCACGACACTTGCGCAGTTAGTGCACTATCATCATTTATAAGGATGTTATACCTGGATGACCTAGATTTACCTAAGAAAACTTATATTATGTGAGACTCTACATACGTTATACAACATTTATGGAGAATGAACAATTTACTTTAAAGTACTTATAAGTACTAATACTATATAAGTATATAGTAGTAGTTGCTTTTTATAATGATTACTGTAAAAGATGAAGAGGACAAAGGAAATGAAGAAGATTCTGTGCGATAATTTTTGCTATTTATCACGGTTTGATTACATAAATTAAAACGATGTTTCACTTTTGGAAAATTAATGGTGATTAAATAATTATAAGTTCACAGACCGAACCAACTGATATATCGAGCTTAAATTATTTGATAATGTCAATTATTTTCAACTGTTTTAGACTTAGATGTTTATTTCTAAAACAAAAATGGTTAGGTGTACTTCCAATAATCACATTTACATATTTACGTAATGTGGGATTTAAACCGTAATAAGTTATTGTCACGCAGATAATATTATAAGCAAGCACATACAAATGCACTACATCACAGTATTTACTCTATAGTGAGTTATTGTTTGTGTACTATCGTAACAGTTGCAGAGGAGTTACATACACGAATAATAAATCGATATTATCTCGTTATTGTTTTAAGGCAATATAAATCCTTCTTTTTTAACCTCGAGTACATCTGGGCCCACTGTGATACTGATTTTTACCGCCAATTCGAAGTACTTGCACTGCAGTGCTAAGATCTGATCGACAGCCAGTACAGCTACAGGCTGTGGAGCATTCCATCTTAGTTCTCAGAGGTCACCATCCATGTAGCCTTCTTTGTTATTCAAATTAGTGGTAGGTGTCCGTAGGCTACAGTAGTCACTTATAATCAGGTGGACTGTAAGACCTACAGTCCATCGGTCCCTTTAGTTTCATAATAAAAATGTATACATACTGCATTTGTTTGGTTTGATGGTATTTTAATAGCAAATTTAAATCGGAGAATGATTCGTGACATTTTTCGGGGGAGCAGCGGACATGTAATAGGCTGTAATGATGACAATGATGATTGAGAATATGTCATCTTTTTTAATGTCAATTTCACCTGTATCCCGTGTACGCAGCTAGTTAGCAAATAAAAATATGGTAATCATTCGCTAGAGTTCCATGAAAAACGCTAAATAAATTTCTCAGACCAGTGACCCAGAAGCAGCATTACTAGTGTGAGAGTCCTATAATCTAACAGTAGACTTAAAAAGATGATGATGAAGATGAATAAATTAATAATACCAGCAATGTTGCATCAAATCAATCTATTGCCAACAATGTTTTCTTCCAACTGTACCATGTGCTCGTGCGCCATATTAACCAATGGGTGTCGTAAGAGGTGACAGAGCGAAAAAAAATAGAAGAAGGATTTTCCTAATAACAAGCAGAAGATAAAAAATTAAAATATTGTATTATTTTAGCATAATATTCCCCTTATGGGGCTATCTAAGGGGAGGCCTATGTTCAGCAGTGGACTATGTATATATAGGCTGTTATTAATGAAAAATTGTTTTCTTGTTGCAAATACAGCAGTTTCAAAGTTTTGTATATTGTGTTGGATATTTCATGGGTGGCACAAGTTATTTTTGTAATCGGTTGTAACACAGAAAATAAATACTTGTGAGGGCCATTTGCAAATGTATCGAAAATTAACAAATTACACATTTTATTAGTTTGCACTGAAAATATATTAAGTTTTACTTTTCTTAATAGCCAACTTTATGACATAGCGTCTTCAAGAGATGTAAAGAGAATAAAACATCTTAAAGGGATATAACACTGCAATCCAACTAATTAAAGAAAAATTCAATAACTACTAATACCATTGGCTGTACCTCCATGTTCCCCTAGCTAAGATCAGAATTAGGGAAAGCTCTCTTTGAAAAATCTTGATAAGATAAAGGAAACAAATATGTTTGCGTGCGTGCGTGCGCGCTTGTGTGTGTGTGTGTGTGTATGTGTGTGTGTGTATGTATGTGTGTGTGTGTGTGTGTGTGTATGTGTGTATGTATGTATGTATGTATGTACGCGTGTACGTGCGCGTGTACGTGCACATGTACGTGCGTGTGTGCGTGAGTAAGAAAGAGTGTGCGCGCGCGTGTGTGTGTATATGTGAGGGATTTGTGAGTTATGTCAGAGAGAACGAGAGAGAAAGATTAGTCATATTTTTTTAATAGGATAGGGTGACAAACGAGCACACAGTCCACCTGATGGTAAGTGGTTGCTGTGGCCCATAGACATCTACATCTATCCTCGATTACGAAACAAAATGCAGATGCGTTGTCACCCGTGAGGACTAAGATGGAATGCCGGGTTTCCAGTAAAAAGGGTCTCCGGTTCACTACACTCACACTACGAAACAAAGCAGCATTAAGCTACTATTTTACGCTGGTATTCTGTGAGAGCGTGGTCCTTCCCCGGTCGAACTTACCAATTCGTGCTAAAACTATACTACTAACATAACTGCAGCATGGCTCTACCACGTATAAAATCATATCATCACTTATCAAGTGATATGGCGACTGAGCAATTTTTAAGGTTCTGCCCAAAACCATTAGGCATCCGCCATTTTTAACTATTCTATAAAAATAAGCATCTTATTCATAGTGATAAAAATCTGAAGTACCGAAAACAAAAACAAAGTAACTTGGTACCTATTTAAATTTTTAGGAACATGGTTTAAGATATACCAAATGAATTCAGTAAAACAATGCTCATAAATAATATCTGACCTGCTGAAGCTTAATTTGAATTAGCATTAACTTTAAAAAATGAAGATATTACTGGTTAATATTATACTATTAGATACAGTAATTCTTAATACAGTATGCTAAAATAAAAATAAAACTAAATTAATAATATTAGGGAAAGCAAGTACAAACTTAAGTTGCTATTAATCTCTCATGAACTATTGAATTCTGCATACAATGATTAAAAGCTACTTTTGTGGCAGTTTTGATGTGCATACAACCTTATTGGGCGATGTTTGTTAGTATTGAGGGGTAGTATTATTTAGTGCTGCTATATAAGTAGAAACACTGAAAATAGATTAAAACTCAACATACCTTCCAATGTTTGTAGATATTCATATATATGTGGTGCAGCATAGTCACAGGGTGTTTTGCCTTTACTATTTTTTACAAACGGGTCAGCACCATGTTCTATAAGAAACTTAACCATCTTTAGGTTGCCAGAAGTTGTAGCATCATGGAGTGGTGTGTCATCGTCTAAACCCTTAGCATTTACATTAGCACCTCCATTTACAAGGACCACAACTACTTGAAGCCAGCCATAACTGCAAGCTTCATGGAGAGGAGTCCATCCTAAAATTTAAAAGTGCATTTAGTTGAACAGAACTATGAATATCTCACTAACACATGATAATGACATTTTGTCCTTTTCGGGACATTGCAGGCAGCAGTAAATTATTTTGGTCTAATGATGATTACAGTATTCATGACAAAAAAATTACAATAAAGAAATTATTTGACCTAATATTTTATAAATTATAATGTTTCACATACACCAAGGAATAAAAAGCAATTTTTCAAACAACAACAAAATCTCCATGCCATTGAAACATCAAAACAATCAAAATTATATTTGTGTGATAACCTTTACAATAATAGAATTATAGTTGCAGACATAATTGTATATTATAGCAGAAAAAGGAATTATAAAAAGAAACAAAGTGCCACAGTTAGAATTACAGAATCAAGAGTTGCAATAATATTTTAGGTCTTCTTTCAGGGCCGTTTTGCTTAGGCAGTAATATTTCTTTCGCTGACAGATACTATACTAACATATAAGTACACATTTAATAAACATACATTGCAGAAAAATGCAACACTTTAGGACACAACTACAATAATAAATAAATGCAATTTATATGGTAACAGCTAAAAGAAACCGGAAATATCCTAATAAGACACTTTATATTCTGTACCATGAGATGCATACCTGATTTGCTTCCAGCAGTATGTTAGACATCATCCACTAACTTCGAATCGAGGTTAGCCGTAAGTTAAAATTGACACAAGAATTATCACCAATACAAAACTCAAATATATTACTAAATTATAATCATATACATATAATATTTTCTTAGTTCTTTACCCTTAAGGTTCTTTAACCTTAAGGACAAACACTATTAATGAGTGCTTTTATGTTTATAAGGGTGAGTAACTGAATTTAGCACATCTAAATACTGCACACCAATGTGTTGCACATTGAAATCTTAAAAGGAAATCTAAGTGGACCTCACCTTATGGTAACATAGAACCTACAAGTTACAATAACAGCAATGTTATGTTATAACTAAAACTAGATGTAATATGCAATTAAAACAAATCTATCAAAACTTCCGTAATTTATAATTTATAATCCTAGAGTGATAATAAACCACTATAACTTTTTTTAAACCGAATAGTGCCATAAAAATTACTTTTAATCTATCGTTTTAAATTTTCGCGTGAAAACGCTAGTCGCCATGCTGTTCAACTCGTGACGTAATTTTCTTTGTTTTTGCCGATTTTGCAAAGGAATAAGATACTTTTAAATGTTTAATAATGAGTTATCATCTAAATCATTGTTGTGTTGTGCCTGAATGCAAAAATACAAGCATAAGAAAACCGGGAAAATTCAGGATTCAAGTGCCAAGTATTTAAATATAAGAAATACTTGGTTAAAACTGGCAAGAAGATACCCGAATACATTGTCTACAAAAACCAGACTATTCTTCTGTGAACAACATTTTGATGTAAGTATGACTTATATTTAACTATTGTTTAATACAAAACAAAACATCATGAGGTGTAGGGTATCGCAAGTCAAATTTTGTAATAAATTACGTTAATTTAGATATTATAACTATAAGATAAACTAAACTATGATAGCTACCAAACTATGTTTTATCAAAATACACTCTGACTTGGTATTGTGTTTTTGCAACTTAGCAGAACAAAAATTGGGATTGCATCAGATTGCATGCAAAAAATTTTGCCACCATAAATTTATTTATCCTTAGTAGATTAGTACTTTCTGCTTTTACGAATTCGTCTTCCATGATGCCTTTTCAATAAAATTCGGAATAAAACTCAATAATCGTAATGATAACTTGAAAAATTTCTAAATAAACTATTTCACACATTAGCTAGTTTTCTTAATCAAGTGTTCACTTGATTAATATAGAAACTTAACACTTTTCTTAATCAATAAAAGTGACACAGAACACTAATACCTTTTATTTGAGGCACATATTTCTCGTTTACTTTTTACAAAATCTATCATAAATATCATCATCATTCATCATTACAGCCTTTCACAAGTGTACTGCTGAACATAGGCCTCCCCCAAGTAATGCTACAAAGCACGTTCCTGAGCCACCTGCATCCATAGACTTCTTGCATGTCTTACCAGGTCGTCACTCCATCTAGTGGGGGGTCACCCTACAATACGCCTACTGGTACGAGGCTGCCACTTGAAAACCTTTCTTCCCCATCGGTTATCGGTTCTCGAGCTATATGGCCGGCCCATTGCCACTTCAGCTTACTAATCCGTTGGGCTATGTCGGTTACTCTGGCTTGACTATGGATATCCTCACTTCTGAGTTTATCGTGCAGAGAAACTCCGAGCATAGCCCTCTCCATAGCATCATAAATATATATTATTTTATTTTATTTTACATGGTGTAAAATACCCTATTTTCCGTTAGTATGAATTTGTAGGTATGAGAATGGTAAAGACTCTACAACTGAATTTACACTAAATCCTGACAAGTTATTCAAAAGAATAAATTAAATATATTCTTGATAATATTGATAAACATATTCCATGATATAAAATTTACACAGCCCATTACAACATCCCTTAAACTAGATACTATAGATTGAAATATTATTGTATTTTGGAGCAGTTTTTAATGGCATGGCATAGTACTAATGAATTTGCAGTATTTTTCAAGACAAATTATACTCTTTACAGATATGAATTTGATTCTCCCTTCCAGATTAAAATAATCACTCAACAGCTTGGTGAGCTGTGATATTTCATAGCTGATAGTTCTTAGCAGCTAAGTGCTAGCTATGAATTTCACGGATGTGAGCATAACCAGAGTTAGATTTCCAACGGCACCAGTGAAATTGTTATTAATTTACCAGATGCTTGGCAGTAAAGAAAACCCGAAAAAGAAATGTGAGAAATAAAAAAATGTTTTAAAGATATGAAAAGTCCACCAACACACATTGGGGCAGCTTGGTAAACACTTCCTTGCCCAACCACCCTCTCAGAACATGTAGAAGGCCTGTAGCCGGGAGTGGGACCTAACATAGGCTTTAACTTTACTTGATAACTTTTTGATGCCGTGCTTGGACATATATAATATTTTTTAATTTTGGAATGAATTTTTTTTTTATAATTTGAACCTAAAACAATTATAAGTCTAAGAAACAATAAGTATTACAGTGACTGACATAATGAAACACATCATTGCTGATGTATGCTGAAAGAATCACCATTCAATTATATTGTGTAGCATGATATTGTGATATACACTATGTAATTGGTGTATGTATTATATTTCAAAATATGCCAACAAAACTAAACATATATATCTGTCCCTTAAGTGCAACCATTGCCATAAGAAATGGTAAACCAGACCAAATAAATATATAATGCTTGCAACATTTGCAAGGCAAGTAAATCATTTTTCCATTTTATCTTTTTCCAGACATCATGTTTCAGTTTTACATTCATAAGATTTTTCATATCAGTAATTTCACTTCACATGAATTTAATAATGAAGTATTATGTGGGAGACAACGCAAATAAACAAAGTTCACACTCAAGAAAACATTGCAAATATTTCCAAAACTGATGCCTTTTTTTATGTTAATACCTTCCGCGTCTTGCAGTTTTGTACATTCAAGCACATGTGCATAACCAAAATTACAATCAAACAAATGGCTAAAGTATCTTTACTAAAGATATTTCATTTGGTACAGTTGATTTTTAACTCTAAAACGGTTTATGAAGTCTAACTCATTGCCATAATTAAGTAAAACTATTTATATGGATTTTATCGCGTTTAATCTACTTATTTTTAATTCCCGACTTATCAAGTGCTTTACAGCACCCATGCCTGTGAACCAGATCGTCCCCATGCCGATTAAAGAGAAACATCATAATTTCAATAGAGAAGATGGATGGGTGCTGCCATCTACTTGGGATCCTATAATTAACAAAACCAAATCTAAATCCAAGCATAGCACTGCAAGACTTCAGATACTGTAAGCTTGTTTTGCATAGATTGGACTAGTGATTGCAGTCCGGATTCTTCTAAATTCGAAAATAACTGTAAAATCAGGATTTTTCCAGTTTTATAAATCCGGTTTTTAAGATTCAAGTCTGGTTTTTTCGGATTTTAGTGAAAATTGAGTTTAATGGATAATATTTTACATTTATCCACAAATTTTCATTCTTACTAATTAATAGGTAGGTGCTACCTACCCTAATATGATAATACGTTCAGTTTATGAATGTGTTTTATTGTTTATTTTCATCATCACCACCATCATTACAGTCCTTCACAAGTCCACTGCTGAACATAGCCCTCCCCCAAGGAATGCCACAAAGCACGGTCCTGAGCCACCTGCATCCATCGACTTCCTGCATGTCTTACCAGGTCGTCACTCCATCTAGTGTGGGGTCACCATACACTACGCCTACCAGTACGAAGCTGCCACTTGAGAACCATTTTTCACCATCGGTTGTCGGTTCTTCGAGCTATATGGCCGGTCCATTGCCACTTCAACTTACTAATCCGTTGGGCTATGTCCGTCACTCTGGTTTTACTGCGGATATCCTCATTTCTAAGTTTATCACGCAAAGAAACCCCGAGCATAGCCCTTCGCATAGCTTGCTGAGCGACCTTGAGTGTCCTTATGCAGCCAGCAGTGAAGGACCACGTTTCAGATCCATAAGTAACCACTGGCAACATGCACTGGTTGTACATTCTTGATTTTAGGTATTGAGGTATACGTGACGAGGTGTGTTGTAATTTCCCGAAAGCTGCCTAGCCGAGTCGAATCCGTCGTTTAACCTTTCGGTCAAAGTTGGACTTAGCTGGTCGGACTATTTGTGCCAGGTAAACTCACTCGTCAACAACTTCTAGCTTAGTGATCCCAACAACTACCTGCATAGGTATGTTCATCTTAAGACCTATCTGTTGGGAGACAATTCATTGAGCATAGTGCTTAGGTCCTCCAGCGACTCTGCCATAAGGACTATATCGTCTGCAAATCGAAAGTGAGTGATGTACTTGCCA